CCCGCAATCATATATTTAAAAGGAGGTAAAAAAAAAAAAAAAAAGGGTATCTGATAGAGTAATGGTTACAATTTTAATATTTTAAAATTTGTTTTAGTTTAAACAGATTGATTGTGTTGTGTTTCTCCTCCTGCAAGTGCTGAATGTACCAAGAATTTAAAAAAATAAATTTAAATTGGTTATCAGCTTGTCTGCTGGGATGTTATTGCTGAGACATTTCTCACAAACGAGCATCATGACCTGGCTGTGAGCTGCTGAGTGACCCTCTGTTTATATTGGAAGTGCAGAACAAAGGTAAAGCTTTAAAATGTTCTATACTAAACATTTACATTTGTATGGTGCTTCTACAGGTAGGCCACTGTTGACAGGAAATATTTATTACAGCATACAGAAATTACAGTGAAGTCTTTTTTTCCCCCCAATTTGTACAGATTCACGCAACAAATCCTACAGTAACATCAAGTTTAAGTGCAAAATGTTTGCTAGCAATATGTACAAAACAGTTGAGCAAAATCCCTTGTTCTTCTACAACATACAGCCACATTGGGGTAAAAACAAAGCAGTAGTTTGTCTCCCATTCCCTTTAAACTATGGTACAGTAACAAAAACTACAGCAGGCAGTATGGGTGACAGAATGGACTGCTCCGAGTCTAGGTGAGTATCAGCAGTTTCATCTTGGGGAAAAAAAACAACAAAAACAAACAAACTTAAGTAAAGCACATGGACGAACGACAGCACGTTGAGACCACCTCGTCACATCCAGTTGATCAGTGTGTGTTGTGGGGGGGGATGTTATGTGTGGCGCACACTCTGCTCATGTGACAGGAGTGGCAGAGGAGATGAGAGTCTAGGGGGAAGCACTGTGACCCAGGCTTATCGGAGAGCTGCTTACCACACTCCTGAGGGGAAGAGTCGCAGATAAAGACAGGAATGTACACAGGAAGTGAGGTAAGCTGCTGAGCTATTTCATACTAAAAGTGATATTTAAGGGAACAGAATGACAAAATAAGACTCACCTCACAGTGGTAGCACTCAAAGTGATAGTCCTTGTTCATCGACACGACCCTGAGGATCTCTTCACTGCCCTGAGATGTCAGAAAGGTCAAACTGTGTCTCAGTTATTCTGGGTTTGTTGTGATTCTTTTCAGAGCACCTTCAGGAAAAACGTGTCACCAGAAATATATGCCAAAGAAGCTGAGCTACTCTGATTTACGCATTTCCTGAAACTAGTCATACAAGAAGACGCTGCAGGATGTTTTGTGTGCATTTCTTGTTATTTTTAGCTTGTAGGACAAAATCAGTTTTTCCATTCATTCATGGATTCGCTCTAAATCTCATTCTCCCGTTTCGTAACTTCTTTTTGCTTAGTAAAACCAAAATGTAAATCAGTTGAAAGAAAAATTGGCTAACATAATTCACCAGTATGATATTTAAGATACAGTATGGAGGGGGGGCATGCATAGAGAATACACAAAAACGTGTACTCACCTCAGTAGGTAAGATGGGTTGTAAACAGGCAGCACACTTCGGGGCAAAAGTCCTGCAGGACAACAGGAGAACGTTTATTCTACTGTGGAGACGGAGGCATTTCTCTGAAGGGAGGTGTTAGGGACATTCCTCAAATGCTACAATACCTAAATGCTACAACACCTCTGTAAACCCGTAACCATTAACCTCATAGTTAATGGTTACGGGTTCATCTAAACCTTATGATCTGTGAGCAACATGTTTTGTTTTAGCCATCCAGATGTGGGTTTTTAATTACAATTATAACTTTAGTTAACTAGCACTGTACTAAAAGTGGTCCGCTTCTTTAAACATCTTGTTTTACTGGACAGTTTAGAGAGCGACCAGTAATAGTGCATTTATCTTTCAGGTACACGGAATAAAAGCCGAGTCACCAGGATTCCCACAAGTCATTCCCCTTGGACAAAGCATTTAAACGCATAGTGTCTCACCTGTTGTAGTCTGCAACGCAGTAGATGTTGCTGTGCTGGTCCACAGTGAAAGGCACCCCGTCCAGAGCCTTGGAGCACACCACACATCTGAAACAGCCAGGATGGTATGAGTTCCCAAGAGCCTGCAGGATCTGGGAATGAAGACCGGTAATGAGCTTAAGTAATTAAAGCCATTTAAAACTGTATGTAGGTATGCAAACACTACCAGGCAAAGGTCTGGTCACACAAGAATCGAATGGATCCTAAAACCTGGATGTGGTTAAACTATTCAGACTGTGCACAAACCACATGCCTGTGGGTTGCTGACCCATTGGCAGCTTTCTATTTATATTATGGGTATTATATGTGGTTCAAATATGGTCAAAACTTTTAAGCTAATCACTACAGAGCCTTAATTCTTTATTTATCAGAAACCCAGGGCAAACATTCCACTGAAATCTGCCGTGGGAACATGAAAAAGAGCCAAAACAGAGACGTCACTGAATTACTCTACCCTCTGGGGGGTTCTTGAAAGGAAATCTGGGAAACATAGAAGGCGAGTAAGTAAAAATTCCCCAAACATAGGTTAGTGTTTAGAGTATATTCCCTTAAATCTCACATAAGTGTCTGGAGGCGTCAGAGCCCTCACCTGCTCAAGAATAAGGTGGCCACACACGCTACACTTCTCAGCTGCAGCCTGGAATCCTGAAAACTGTCATTAAAACAAAGAGATTAACATTAGCAGGTTCTTGACTTGGAATGTGTGAGAGACAGATGACAAAAGCAAAACGCACACCTTGACATCTCTTACCATGTAATCCTCTTTACAGTACACAGAGCCACTGACATTGTAAAAGTCCTTGTTTCTCAGGGTGCGTCCTGCAGAGGGAGAGAGGCAGCAGACAGGAAGTGGTTTAACAGAGGACTTTAGAAAAAGGAGTGGCAGTGATAGAAAATCACCATTAAGCACAAATAATCTTTGTTGTTTTTGGGGGGAGGGGAACTCACCACAGGACACACAGGTGAAGCAGCGGGTGTGATAGAGGTTGTCCAGAGCCTGGCAGGCATTATCTGCCCCGTACACGCCTTTCCCACATTTCACACAGGTTCCTGCCAGCACAATGGGGTGGGGGGGTGGGGGGGACAAACATGCATTTAGTCAAGAGTAATCGCTCGGCGGCTCTTAGCACTTCATTTACGACTCATTCCAAGAGGATGTGTCTGAAATCCAACTCCACACAAAGTGTCAACACTTGTAAATCCACTCGTTCACACCACCTAGGGGATTTTCTCACAGTTAAAACCCAGCTGCCCATGCCAGCCAGTGTGTGTCTGTGGAACCGCCGTTATTAAAGGGAAACTCCGCTGGACCTGACTCTTTGGCTTCAGAAGAAGAGAACTCTTTTGCTTCTGGGGTTTTTTTTTTAGTTAAGACATTCATTTAAATACTTTAAACCCCACAATGTGGAGATTTATTATTTATGTTTGGAACCTCGACTACCTCAGGAAACAAGGCAGCAGTAAAATGTGACACTTTAGCTCCTTCCTTTGTCATTATCTGCTGGAATAATCATTCTCCTTTCATCTTAAAGTGATGTTTAGACATTCTTCTCTCAGATAATCAAAAACAAACATAGCCCGTCAAGATTAGCATCAACTAACTATTTTCTCCGTTCTTCCTTCCAACATGAGTACATGTACAGAACATGTTGTGCCACTAAATGTCAAGTGGAAAATGGTGTGGTGGTCCAAGCTTCTGCCCCTTCAGTCGCTCTCTGATCTATTTAAGGGTCTGCCTGCATTTTTCCCCCTTTCTAATGTGGCTGAGCGAGTGCCACACAAATCAAGTATTGCTACGATCCTGGACAGGCCCTTCGATGTTTAGGAACAGACACAGCTCTCTGCCAAACCCAGAAACCAGAGGGTTTTAAATATGTCCGACTCTCGCTACATATAGGATACGCTGGGAAAGCATTTGTTTTAGTGACCTGGGCAAAACCTTGGGACAAACTAAATTTTCATATAATAAAGCACATTTGGACACAAGAGTTAATTAAGAGAATGAACATGAATGCACTAAAGACAATTATAGAACCCACAAAACTGAAGTTTGGCACCTAAAAATAATTTAAAGATTATAAAAACATTAATTACAAGTTTAATTTTGTGTGCACCCTTTGTTCTTTTTATTTCCTGGGACAAAAAAAAGTAACATCTAGAATTTGTTCTATGTGGATTAGCTTGGACTAGTTCTCCAGTTTCTTGATTTATAGGGGAATTTTCCTTGTTAAACAGAGAGAGTTTTGCAAACGTTGCTCAGCATTTCTCCTCAGTCCAGGTGTGCGTTTGTCGGTTGAGCTCAGAGCGTCTGACTTCATGGCTCAGAGCCTCTGATTCGTCCCTAATGGCTGTGAGGAGTACAGTATTGGATGTCCCCTCCGGGCACACATACCTGAACTGAAAAACAGGCTACAGCACACCGCCCCTGCACACGCCAAGGCCGCATTACACACACACACACATATATATGACTCACACACTGCGTTACTGTGGCCTGAAGTCACTCGGGGGAAACACACCCTGCCACAGAGACAACAACACACTTATACCTTTACCCAGCCACTGTAACACACTCCTACCCTGCTACAATCACACACAGCCCAATCTACTGTGACTCACAGTAATAGCTGGGGTTGTGTTTATATGGAGCTGTGTAATTTGTCTGAGTGTCACAGCAGTTTTGCAGTTTAACGGCTGTGCAGACAAGCTGCATTAGCCCTAAGGTGTGCACTGCAATGGGCAACAGCTGCCTGAAACATCAGCCGACCTCGCCTGCTGTTTTGGATACAGGTGTGAGTCTGAAAGATTAGACACATATTTGTGCTGTTGGGACTTTTTTACTTTCATAATTGATCCGCGGCGTGTATCATTCAGGGCGTCCTGTGTGTTCCCTTATTCTCTTCAGTCAAACATCTACTTGTCTGGATCAGTTTCTAAAGCCTGAGTGCTTCTTTTTTTCTGCTTTATGATTTGCATGCTACAGTCCTGCATGTCTGTGCAGGTTCCAAGGCACCATCCATCCATCCATCCATACATACATACACACACACACACACACACACACACACTTTCAACTATTAATCTGTCCATCCAGCCTTGCATCCATTCCTACAGCCCATTTGTTTAAAGGTAAACCTGTGATCTGACACCGGGCAGCGAGGAGGACAACAACAACACACTGAGGCCAGATACTGAGTGACCGAGCGCTCCATTATGAATGTACGGGATGCTGTGCATGAACTATGGTGATGTAGTTTAAAAACATTGGTTCAATAAATAGACAAACAGCAGAATCTCACCAAAGAACTCCTGGCGGTTCTCCGTGACCTCTCTTCCCGCTCGCACTCCTGGATCCTCCTGAGAATTGAGTGGTCCTCCAGTGGAGGTCAGCCCCAGTGTTGTCGTGCCTGGTTTGGAAAGAGCCATCAGAGCCAAAGACTGATCTTTCAGCATCAGGCCCTCCAGGAGCCCCTCGCCTTCGAGCGCTGCATCTCTCAGTAGAAGTCGGGTGAGTTCTTCCTGATACAGAGTTCCAGGTAGGTCTGAGTAACGGGCCCCCTCTTTGCCTCTCACTCCTGCCTGCTGTTCATCCCACCACTCTGGGCCACCCTGGTAGCACGCGGCTCCTGGACTTCCAACAGCAGGTGGGTAGGAGTGTCGAATATCGTGGGTCCCTGGACGCATCCCTCCCTCCAGGTATTGGCTCCAGGCCTCTACAGGGGTTACCCCAGCTCTGCCCAGCACGCCATAACCAGCCACAGAGCCCCCTGTCTGCACAGAAGGGAACTGCTGCTGCGGAGGGAGGCCTCCAGAAGCAGAGTAGCGAGAGTCATAGCCTAGGCTGATGCCACTGGTCCGGTTGCTGCTGCACCGGCTCCCCATGGGGCTCCCTCCTCCGCCACCGCTGGCTGTGCTAGAGGCAAAGCTGGACCTGGGGCTGACCAGCACAGACTCCTGGAGGCTGAATGACGAGCATGGACTCAAGGCTGGTCCTTGGGGGTAAAAGAAGCCTCCTCCGACACCTCCTCCGGTCACATCTGATGGGCGATGTGGTGGATGAGAGAGGGATGCAGGCCTGGCACACTCCCACAGTTCACTACCCGTGCTCAGGCGTTTGTAAAACAGAGCCTCCTGGAGAGAGAGACGCTTGTGCCTCTCAGGCTCAGAGAGGTAGCCGGGCTCAGCCAGGCTGCCTCCGCCAGCTCTGGGAGCTGACCCATAGCCTATGGTGGCAGGGTATAGTGGGGGGTGGCTGGGAGAGGAGCTGATGTCGTCTAACCAGCTTCTGAAGCTCCAGCGAGTAGCGCCGTTGATTGAGGGATGCCTTGGAACCAAACGCCCCCAAAGGGTCACACTCAGGGCCCAGGCCAGACTCACGCCTTAGGTGGGAATCTACGCCTTCGCCCAGGTAACAGGAAGCTCGCTGCTGAGGGGAGCGACGCCTCAGTGGTGCCAAGGTGGAAGGATGAAGTGGCTGTTCACCATCTGAAGGTATGGCACCCACACTGGACAAGGGTGACTGTGGTGTGAGGAGCTGAGAGGGAGGCATTCCAATCCCTCCTCCTCCTCCTCCTCCTCTCCCATTCACTGGAACGCATGCATCGCTTGTGGTTGCAGAGGCAAGCGAGAACTGGCCGGATCTTGAGGGTGAGGCAGCTCCAGAGCTGGGAGCTGGTGGCAGACCGCTGCCTCCAGAGACGCCAGCGTTGGCGTTGCTGTTATTAGAGTTGTTGGTAGAGTCATGCTTTTTCTTTGAACTGTTGAATTTCACACTGCCCGAGTCTGTTAGCTTTAACTTCTCCAATAACTTGCTTATCGGCCTGTCCATGATGAAGCCTGCTCAAGTTCTTTACCTGTCTGGGCAGAGTCAAGTCGTACAGCTCTCTCAGCAAGTTATAGATTAATGTGCTCAAATACAGTGTGGGTAGATATACAGCAGAACAAAGATGTAGATGTAAATCGACAGTTTTCACTACGACAGTTGAAATGTTAGCTTTCAAATTCTGTAATAAGAACATAAAACTGCCCTTGAAACTAGTACAAAGCCAAAAAAAAGACGTCCCCTTATATACACACACACACAATAAATAGAGAACAGATAAATAAGACCTTTAGGACATTCCAAGGTGGTTACATGACTTAAGTCAACTGAGTCATCTGATTTGCCCTCATTTGAAAAGAGCACAGGTAAGCTGTGGTGAGCAAGAACCCATTGGATTATTAGACAATTACTAATAGTTCAAGTCAATCCAGTCAGGAAACAGAAGAATCACGCACCCAGGACACTTCAGCGTGACCTATGGTCGTGGAGGGCCTCCTTTGTGGACCCTCGTGTGATTCCACATCTGCATCTTCTCTCTGAGATATAGACTACTTCAGTAAAGTCCGTTTTAGACCGCGGCCATCCAGCACGATGAGGGCTTCTGAATTTATCTTTTTAAAAACACAGAAGTCGAGCAGGATGGAACGTTACTCTATCGCCACTTCATGTGGGTCCAGTGTAGACAAAATAAATCAGTCTGTGCACAGATAGTCGACTCACCCGATTCCTGCCATTCATCTCAGGAAGAAAGTTGCTCAGAACAATTAAAATTGCATGATTTTCTTTAACTCAGGAAACAGAAAACAAACAGATCGTATTCTCTGGAATCCTCAGTCCCGTCCATCCCCCTGTGCTCGGCTGCTTTTTATCTTTCCCGTTTTCAAAGGAGAAATCCTGTCCGGGACTCGGAGAAATAGTAGCGGAGAAGTTAGGAGACAGAGGAGGAAATGAGGGGAACCGGTGCGCCGCTACAGTTAGCTCCCAGCAGACCGGTGCTGGACTAAACGAGTCTCTCAAGATAAATAAAATCCCTCTCCGTATGCATTGCACGGTCGAGAACTTTGTTTCTTTCTTTCTTCCCCTTAAAAAATGACTTACCTCCCCCCTCTTTTTCAACTACGTCAATTTGCTACGATGGAGAGCGCTAGTTCCGGCTACAGCTTTTCAAAATAAACTGCTGGCAACACTTTTTACTCCACTACGTTTAGTTGATAGCTTCTGTTACTAGTTCCTTTTCAGAACCAGATTAATATATAAAAATACAGTATAATTATAAGACTTCGTTGATCCCCTGTGGTAAACTACCCAGAAATGAAATGCGCCCTTCTGCATATTGAATGCTGTTACTTTTTGTATGATTGTAAAACTTTGTACTTTTACACTGGTACTGTTATGTTTACTTAAGGAAACAATCTGAGTAGACCTACTTCTTCCAGCACTTCCTTTGTTCATTGTATGCTAATGTGTGAGGTGCACAAACTGGGGGTATTTTAGCTGGTAGCTGGTACAGCTCTGATTTGGTTTCACATATGAAAATGTATTTCTGCAATTTCTAAGATGCAGTTTTTGATTTTGTTGCTTCATTTGCAAAAAGCGAACGCGCATTCGCTTTTATTTTGAAGATGAAGCACGTAACGACGTCTGCCTGGCGTCCTCTCGGCGTGTTGACATATCACTGCTCCTTTATCAGTCAGCGGCGGCTCGTTTCCACCAGGCCGGGACACCTTTCCACCAGACATGGCTGTGTCGTCATTCATACGCAGAGGTCGTGCCCACCGCGCCGAGACCTGCTCCGTAATAATAATCTCAAAATAAAACCTGTGCTGCCATGTTTACTTACAACATTTTAACCAGTAGTTAAAAATAACTCATTGTCCACGTTTTTTTCCATAAACCTTTAAACACAAGTTCCTGACTGACTAAACGTGGGGTTTGACAGGACTAGAAGAAGTAAGTTATTAAGACCTTTTGATTAAATGAAAATAGCAATACCTATTTAAAAATGCTACAAGTAAATGATCTGCATTCTAAATCTTATTTAAGTACAAGTACACAAGTATTAGGATCAGTGTATACTTAAAGTATAGGCTACTTGTTATGTATAATAACCCATTTCAAAATAGTATAACTATAGACCTATAAAATACTCAAGTACAAAGACCTCAAAATTGTACTTAAGTACTGTACTTATGTAAATGCACTGTCTCGGAGTCCCCTGAAGATCAGAGGTTTTTCAGACTGAAAGCAGCTAACCATCAAGTTAATGTTTATTGTGATGTAGTGCAGGATACAGATGAACCTGGTCATGTGGCTGTGGTGAAGCCAAAGCTCCAATATAAACAACTCTGTTTCCAAAAAGCTCATATTTTGTCTTTGTTTTCCTCATAATCTTTAACTGTAACCCCTTAATCACAGGCCTATTCAAAAATGGTGTGATGCCATCTTTGTCCAGTTATCACACCACTACTTTTAAACAATAGTAAAAAGTAATAAATCTGTATAATAGTCTATAATATATATACCCTGTATTAATATAACACAACAGTAGCCCATTTTGCATATGGGTGTTTTTACTTTTCATGCTATTTGTGCATGAACACTTAACAAAAATTCAATGTATGACTTGGAGTTACATTGGAATATATTTATACGGTGGTATTTCTACTTTAACTTATTTTTAAATGATCGGAGAACTTCCCCTACCACTGTTTAAACATTTTCAATAGGTTTTATAACACACTACAATCAAATCGTGTAAAACTGCGTGTTTCTGCAGCGGCACTAGTTTCTTGTATCACCAGCCTGTGGAATGCGCGGAGGGACACGCCGGAGTGAGGCGCTCCCGGATTTTTTCGCCGTATCTGAGTTCTCCAAGGACGATACAGAGTAAACATCCCGCTACTGTTTCAGACCTGAACGGCGTTTGTCACTGCTGATTCCGGCCGTTTTGTGGCAGTTAACGGACACACCAAAATACAACAAGCCCTCATAAAGTACTGCTCTGTTTGTCCTGGAGTGTTTGGATAAACGTGTCGGCTTTCTGTATGCCCAGGAGCCCCCTCCAGATAGAGGCTTTCATGGCCCCTGCGGTTCACCGGAGTCCCTGTAGCAGCCTCTGCAGACTCTGGCGTTTACCTCACAGGCTGCGAGTGGGAACTTGTCTGAAAAGCTAACAGAGAAATTCTTCTGGGCTTAGTGTCGGTGCAGTTCACACAAAAACAATGCTTTGAAGAGCTCTGGTTTTTGCCAGAAGAGCACAATCATGTATTTAGCCTACACGTTTAGGTCTAGAGATGAAGTAGTCCCCTTCTCCATCTGTGTAGTTGTTTCATCAAAAGGCACATATAAAAGCATCATTTAATATTAACACAACTCCGATCTGCCATTCTAGATATTTAGAATTTCTGTGGGCTACCTGTTTGTCAGTGGTGGAAGAAGTACTCAGCAGATAAAAAGCAATACCACTGTGTAAAAATACACCGGTACAAGTAAATGTCCTGTAGACTATTCAAAATATTGCTTATGTACACCTACTCATCTACTTTATACTTCGATTTCACTACATTTTAGCACTTTTAACACTGTACTACTTTTTACTTTTACTTACTACTTTAACTTTTTTTTAATTTATTTAAGGTACTTTAAGTAGCCTATATTTTGATTCTAATACTTTTGTACATTTACTTAAGTTACATTTTGAATGTAGGACTTTTTAATTGTAGCATAGTATTTTACACTGTGGTATTACTACTATTACTTAAGTAAACAATGAGTAGGCTTAGTTCTCCAACGACTACTTAAATGCTTAGACCATTACTTATTTAGGTAAACATCTGTAGCCTACATTTTTAAAGTGAAACTGCTTATGGTGGCCAATGTGTAATCTCACACAAAGACAGGAGATGCTTTTGTTTAAGTTGCAATTTTACGATTAATAACCTGTTATATGACGGTGTTTTGAATTTATGTGGTATTCTATATTGATTGTATTGTTGTAGGCTACTGTAATGTATAGCTGTATTGTTGTTTGTTTAATTTCAAAACATAAACAGAAACGGGTTTGGATCACAGGATAAAGAGGGAACATTGCAAGAAGAAACCAAAATGAGAAGCGAGGAACTTCTAGCAGTCAAACCCTTATCGTGCACCTTTGGTGCCACCTGGTGGTCAAGTAGCGTATCGCGGGCAACATGGCGGCCACCGTGAGGCTGTTGTGCGGTTCAGGTGAGACAGAGTATTATAAATTGAGTTTGTAGTGTGTGTGAGACGCGTTAATGAATGCTGTAGCTGTAAATATCTGTTTATACCAGTCACTGCTTTTGATACAGGGTCTGTTTGAAGAACAACCGCAAGTGCAGTAACGTCGACTAGCTAGAAAGGCTAACGCTAATAGTTTGTCATGCAAACTCAGGCTAGCATGAGGTGTCCGTGCTTACTTAAACATGGATAATGTGGACAGGTGCTTTCATTCTGTTGAGAGGGGTTTTTTGTTCGAGGCTGTTACTCTAATGAGACAAAATATACAATGTAGATGCTGTTTAAAATCAATGTTTTCTGTTAATAAGATCACAATGCAGTGCTGTAAGTGTAACCTGTAGGTTGTGAGTGATTGGTGATTGTTTATATTAGTGACCTCAGAGGCTGTTTGTGTTTCTCCACGTGTTGTTTTCCAGTGTTTAGAAATTCGAGCAGACAGTTCAGCACAACATGTGGAGTACAAGCTGGAGAGAAATGGAGGAAAGAGTAAGTTTACTGTTGACACACTTTGATCGTTTGTTGTGTTTTACAGTAGAAAAGTGACTATTAAACTCTATATTTATAACAATCATTTCTTGATTACTAACTAGATAATTCAGACCCTTGTGTTAGGGGACCCTAACCCTCTTGTCCTACTGTGCATCAGTTGGTTTGTGTTAATTTTAGGGAACTGGGGATGTGCACAACAAAACATAATATCAATAGACACGACAAAGGCCTAAAGTACGTAACTGAATAGTTTTATCTAGAAGGTCACTGTCTAACCCTAACTCTAAGAACTTTATTTGTGCCCGTATGACTTTGTGTTTAACCAGCCTGCTACTCATGATACCTGCAAGCTTAGAAAAACTATATAAGCTGCACAAAAGATTGGAGGAACAGTGAGTTAATAGCTGACCACTTGCTAGTGTTTTTTGGCTGTAGAATGTACTCAGACTGCTTTTACCCACAAAAATCAAAACCAATTGCAGATGGTGGTGAAATAGCTATGAAAACCTTGGTGAACAAAACAAGGACAAAGATGTCAGTTTACACAGTCACATCCATCTGTTGGTAGCATTTCAGTGAGTATGACAAGTTCACTAGTTCCCTGGAGATGATTGAAAACATGGCTGCAGCATGTGTGGGGGGTGTTTCAGAAGGTGAGAAGGATGGGAACGTGTACAGGTAGGTACTGAATCAAAGCTTCATAAAATGGAGTCAATGTTAAAGCAGAGTTTAACCCAGCCCTGCAGACCAGCTGTTTTTACCATTTATCAGCTCTGAAGATGAAGTGTGGAACAACCATTGTCGATGATGTCATCATCATATTGAATAAAGATTTAATGTTTGCTTGCAGACACGGGCTGGCTCGAAGCGGCACAGAGTATGGACCTCTGACAGATCTGCCTGACTGGTCCTTTGCAGGTATCTTCAGTTTTGTTTTTTACCAGTCTTTTGGTATGTGAAGGTGTTTCAAGTGGCACAAGTCTAGTTCGGAGCTAGTGACTAGGGGGTGTCTACAGTATAGCTTAGCAAGGCAAAGGGGGTGCTTGGTTTGATGCATGGGATCTCACTGCTAATGCAAACACAGCAGAATTATTGTCACGTGAGACTGAGATCGCACAGGGATCTAAACAAAACAATGTATGGTGCAGCCCTGTTTAATAACATGCTATTTTTAGAAGCCACAGTGAAAATGCTGAGACAAGCTTGAAAGATTTCACTGAAAAACTTTGTATAAGCATGTTTTGTTTGTGTGATTAACTACACACACTTGTCTATTCTGCTTTGGCTCTGTTGCATATCTGTTTGCTCCAGAAGCTATGAATAAGACAGAACCGTGTTAATATGTGGTGTTACCGAAGCATCAGCTGCATCTTCCTCTTTTTCTTCAAGTTCATTTTTACACTGCTCTTTTTTTAGATATATTTTACTTGCAGTAATGAGATAAATCTGTGGTCATGTTGTGTACTTGTTGGACATTTTTGTAACATCATTCATGGTCACGTTACTTTGCTGACATTCTCTATTTTGTGGACAGATGGAAGACCAGCACCGCCGCTGAAGGGCCAGCTGAGAAGAAAGCAAGAGAGGGAAGTTTTAGCTGTGAGTCTCACATATTTATCTTTTAAATAAACATCTCCTTATTGCTCTGTGTGTATTTTTCTTTTGCGTTCATATGCTTAAATGTGTAACCTTCCTTCTCACAGAAACGTATTGTGATGCTGAACTCTGAGATGGACAGAGGCATAGAGATGTGGAAGGGAAGGGTAGAAGAGGCTGAAAGAATGGAGGAGCACAAAAAGTCTCTTTTACTCAAACCTAAAGGGAAGCGTTTACTGAAGAAGACGCCTCAAAACTAGGAACGGGTTTTCACTATGATCCTTATTCTGATCAATATTGTGACAGACTATTGGATATGTTCATAAGGATGCATGTTTTTTTTTTCCTGCATTATAGTTTGTTATTCATGGATTGATGAAATAAATGTTTCTGAATTATATTTTTAGTTTGAAGCTCTTAATGATCATTGAGAAGCTGTCCAGTAATCAAGTGATGACTTAAATGGATTTTTACAGATGTAATGCTGAGTCGATGTCTTCCAGCTTCCACTAGAATGCAGCATTTCTCCTTTGTGAGGCAGCGTGAGCGCTCAAACGCCATTTTGTCAGCTGCTGGGCTCAGAGAGGAAACTTGCTGGGAAGAGAAAGGGAGGAGCTGGCAAACAAAGTAGCACTGATTCAGGACTTTACTGTGAGAGATGGGTTCACACCTGGGCACACTAGTAAATCAGTGTTTTTACTCAAAATACATGATGACGGTTTTGGTCAAAAGCTGTTTGGTGAATCAGCTTTAAGTTTAAGGAAGTCAACACAGTTTTAGTAGCAAAAATTGAAGCTCAAAGTGTTTAAAATGAAAACAAGGCACAGGTCCAGCACTGACAGGAATGTTTTTGGCTGATGACATGCTTTGCGTAACTCATTTAAACTGGCTTATTTCCTGTTTTTTCATCATCTCTACCTAAATAAAGGGAGCACTGGAGCTCATTTGCAGCATGGGAAGTGGGAAGATGATTAAGTGGCTGCAGCCAAGTTGGCAGAAGGCTTTGTCCCACAGCAAATGGTGGGTCAAGTCCTAATGAGGCTGCAGAAACACTTGGAGCATCTCATTTTAAAGCTGAAAACATAAATCAGCTGTGGCATGAAATTACTTTTTACTTGTGGGGTTTTTAGCAAGGGCTTGAATTTTTTTTGTCCCACCGGGAGGAGGCCCCGGGGAAGACCCAGGACACGCTGGAGGGACTATGTCTCTCGGCTGGCCTGGGAACGCCTCGGAGCTGGAGGAAGTGTCTGGAGAGAGGGAAGTCTGGGCATCTGTGCTTAGACTGCTGCCCCCGTGACCTGGTCCCGGATAAGCGGAGGAAAATGGATGGATGGATGAATGGATTAATTTTTTTACACCTCTTTAAAGTTCTGATGTAGAGGCCGAGCAGCTGTCTGTTTGTAAAGTCAGCACTGATTTACTCAGCCTCTCCTCTCTTCCTCCACTCACCCTCACCTTTGTTTACTTCTTCCTTTTTCCTCACATTTCTCTCTCTCTCTCTCTCTCTCAGTACATCGTTTGCCATCTCTTTTCATGATCCTCTTTTCATTTTTCATCCCTGTTATTCACATCAATCTAAACCTTTTTCTCTCTTGCAGAGCCGCTGAGTTGCAGATTCTTTTCTTTGGAGATGGGAGTTTTCTCCTCCCCTTTTTGTCTTCAAATGTTTATACACTTGACCAAAGGAGCTGACAGTTTGTCATAATACAGAAGTGTGGGAGGACATTAACCTGGCCAGAGGCGGTGTTAGAGGCAAAACTGTGTGTTGTAAGAAATATCAGAGTGGTTAACAAGGCGACACCTGGACCATCAAAGACCTCCAACTGCACCAACAGTGAGAAATGTAGCCCCTTGTTCTTTCCTCTCACTCACCATCTTTTCACATCCATCCTTTCTGTGAACGTCTTTCTCCCCCTGACTCCTCCCACCCTCCCCCATCTCTCCTTTCCTCTCCTCCTCTTGTTTTGGTTTTGGGGAAATGAGAAGCAGATGTTGCCTATTGTGCAGGAGTCAGCGTTGGAAGGATGGAGGGTGGGTGTGTTAAGGGAGGGTAAGTGGTGTTGGGTGAGGACAGTCTGCTAGGATGGAGGATAAAGGGAAGGATGAGAGAGATGTGGTTGTTTGTGAGGGTTAGACCTCTGTAGTTTCACCCACAACCCAGAAAGGGGGGGGGTTCCTGGTAGTTAAGACTGTGGTGGGGGTGTGAGAGCGTGGGCAGAGCCCGGGTGCAGAGTTTGGGGGTTGGGATTTTGGATCTGATTCAGCAACTCATTCCCAAAGACCGCTTCCTGACCTGGGTGTTCCTGGGGTATGGGGCACTATGGGCAGCATGTTGGACAAAATTACACAGTCTGAATGTTTTGAACTGTACATGAGAACTGCAGGCTGCAATTATTTGTGCTTGTTGCAGCTGGACAGTAAACCACGTGGTTTCTTGGTAGTTAGAAAGTTAATTTAGAGGTACATTTACTCCAATGAAATGTTAGAGTACTAAAGTAAATGTACTTAGTGATGGGAAGCTGAGTAAAATGGAGTAAAAAAGAAAAAGTCCCATTAAAGTTACAGTAGAAAGTAAATGGTGCCATAATGTAGGTCACTCAAGTCTCAGATTGAATTGCAAGCATCTGTCCTGGCCACTTCCTGCCTGGCATGGAGGAGGAGTGCTGAGCCTGGTTGTTCCTGAACTGCCCAGCCATGCGGTAGGAGTTCAGTGCTAAAATGACTAAAAAAGGGGGGTGGGTGGTTAGAGGAGCAGCATCTGTATTCATCTGCATGATCTACAAGACAAGACAGAAAGCAGATGCTTGGCAGATGAACTTGCCAGGACCTCCACACAGACAAGTTTAACACAGTCTGCGTTTCGTTTCACTCCCCCTTCCCGATCAGCAACATGTCGACACACATTAAATCTGATTGTCTCCCAGCTGTGTGTCCACCCACTAAGATCGCAACGGTTTCTAATACTTTTCACGAAAAGATAAATAAAATTTTAGAAACGAACTATGTATTTGGGTTATAACTGTCAAACGGGAAAACGGCCAGTAGTGAATTAACCTACAGTAATTTTGAGGGGTCACAGGCTGAACAGGTTGAGAAACACTGATCTGAGTCTTCATCAGCATAGTCACAAGAATTTATTGATCCTAGTGGGAAATTCACCAGCTACTCAGCAGTACTTGAAATTATAAGCATATAAGGTGGTTAACATTAGCTCCAACTTCACCAGCTGCAGCATTAATTTTTAAGTGTGATGAACATTCTGCATAACGAGTACTTTTACCTTTGGTACTTTATATTTTGATGGTAAAACTTTTGTGATTTTACTTAAGGAACATTTTGAATGCAGGTCTTTTACATGGAGCAGAGGATTTTTACACTGTGGTTTTGCTACTTTTATTTATTTAAGTAAACGATCTGAGTCCTTCTTCTGTTATTGCAAAAATGTGTCAGCGGGCAAGCATGCAACTCAAGAAACAGCAAGGAGAGAGGAGTTTCCATTAATAAATTAACATTTTCTCCAGTTTAGGGTTAAGGTAGTTCTTCTGAAAAGCACTAAATACGACAAAAAAAAAAGTCACATCATTGTCCCAGTTTTCTCTATAATTAGCACCAAATTACAGCCTTCTTTCCAGGAAACTTACTATGAAATTGAAAGTCACCTTGGCTTTTCTAAATTATGTATATTTGCATGAATTTGATTATTCCCCATGACAACAGCTATAATAAAATAAACTGTGACTCCTACAGGGAATCCACATTATTTACTGAATGGTTAGGGACCACCTGCAATACCTGCATTAACCAGCAGGGGGACCCTTTAAACATGCTTTATAATGGCAGATATGTTATAAACATCAATAGCAAGGCACTTTAAGTTGCCAGGCTGTAGCAACTTTATCCCTTGTGTTTGGTATAAAATGTTGATAATCCATTAATAAAGGCTTTATAAGTGCTGTATAAAGGGATTTTTGTCTGGTTCATATAGTGTGATAAGTTGAATAGAGTTTTCACAAATTGGCAACCAAAAAGTTGTTTTTACTGATGGGCTCATAGCTGTTTTCTAAAGGATACAACTTGTAAACCCTTTATAAAAGGTGCTGTATTAGAAAGTGTTAGCCTAAACTCTGTAATGAAAGCTTGAGTGACTATAACCTAATATTGTGACTACTGACAGATTTGATTTGGAAACATTTAGCATTCCCATAAAGTTCAGCAGCATCTAGAAAGATGGATTAGTCAGAACAGCTACTGTGCTTGAGAGAGAGCCACAGAGACAAATGAAAACACCAGTTGACAGAGTAAAGAGAGACTGTTTGGCCTTTGTAGGAGGAAAGTGTATGAACAGATGTGAGCAGGAAAAGTTGAGCTCAGGTTACTGTACAGTATTCACGCAAGGGAAGCAGTATGGAGAATCGTAGTCGTCATATCCTTATTTTAACATGTAAGTGCCTCTTTCAGTGGCTCACAAAAATCTAGCTGAAGCCTGACCTGTCAAGGTCCAACACCATCAAGCTAATTTCTTGTCAAAAATACTTTATTACATTAAAGAGCAGCTGTAAACTAGCTGAGAATCTTGTTTTTGGTCACCCCCAGTGGTTTAACTTCAGTGACTTACAGCATGCTGTAATTAATACTTTTATAACAGCAGTGAATCAAATGACAGTGTGTAATGTGAAAGATGTGAGAAGTACAGCCTGGAGCTAAAGTTTCCCTCGGCTCTGCTTCAGGAATCAGCTGATGCAGCTTTAAGGAAAGTAAGTTTTAAGCCCTAAATGGCTCTTTGTCAGCAAAGATAATAAATGCTGATGCATCATGCAACAATGTTAACTGTAATAAAGAAGGGTTTATATCTGGATTAGGCAACTACTTTCTACCAGCAGATAGAAAAACAACCTTGATGGACCTGGTAGAATTATGTCTAAAATGAAACCAGACCATTATATATTCTGTAAAATGCGATTCACATGTAAAGAGTGTTCTTTCAAGACTAAACCATAATTAAATACAAGTAATTTTCCTTTTATGCTGGTGGATATTTGCCTTGACCTTGTGGTTGTCCTAGGTTGTTGATGTTTACTGTCACATTTTGAATGTAAAGTACATTATGAGTTAAAACAGAGAGCAAGAGGAAACGAGAAGGGCAGAGAAAGAAAGAGCAAAACCAGACCAGAGATACTTGTGGTGAGAGGAGGAGTGGTTTCAGACTTTATAAAAAAGAACAATTTTGCAGTGGGTTAGGAAATAAGAGAGGGGGACACTGCTAGCAAAAGTTCTGGATTAAAAGAGAAAAATATCCCCAAATCAAATGAGTTTTTTAATACACTTCTCTCACTTCACCTTTCCTTACTCACCTTTTCTTTACACACTGCATTTCCTCATGGGTTTTTACAATTTTAAAAGGAGAGATCTAGCGTGTAAACTTTATTTTGCATAAGTCTGATTACACACACACATGCAGACTGCAGCTGGGCCCGGCCTGCCCAGCTCAGATGTTGCAAGAATACCAGATGCTCAGTTGGAGCGCGCTTGTATGAAAAATGTGACCATTCCATAATTTTTTCCGACTAGTTCCTCGACACATGACTGCTGGCTCCACGTCCAAAACAAACTAGTGGTGTAACCGTATCCAGACCGCTCCATCTGTGGCTCTCTGCTCTGTCAAGAGGTGAGGATCCATCGCAGACCTTCACCTTTGCCACACATCATCTCTCTTTGTTCAATCCTCCTTTGTCTTTTCACACTAATCAGATTCCTTAACTCTTCGGT